GCGCCCTCGCCCAGCTGGATGATGTAGGTGATGGCATTGTGAAGCCACCGCCAGCCCTCGGCGCGGGCTTGAACACCTTCGGGATCCTTGGCCTCATAGCTGACCTCCACCCACCTTGGCGTAGGGCACCTGGCGAAGGAGTTGAAGTCCTTAATCTCTGTGGCGGTGACGTGCGAAAGCATCTGAGCTGCGCGTACTACGAACTTGGCCCAAGCTGTTGATGGAAAACCCCAGGCGCCGTCAGCGCGTTGGTGCTTGGTCAACTCCACAGCATGCTCAGCATCGGACGCCCCAGTGGCCCAGGACGAGTCTTCGCAGTGTGGCCCGTGAACCTGCGCGCCAGGGATCTTAGGCGCCATACCGTAAGCAAGGTACTGCATAGACTGCCCACCAACTGCAAGCTGCAACTGAACGGGCCGATGAGGCTTGATTGACCACGCCATATCTGCAGAAACACACTTGAGCGAACGCATCGCTGCAGAACTCAACGCAAAGAAATCTATCGTGGAACACGAGCGGGCAGTGCGGCATGTGATAGCCGTCGGAACTACCAAGCTGACCTGCGCGTTGGCTGGGCAAGTGGAGTCCTCCACCTCACTGGCAGGCATGTTCCAGTCGCCGCCGGTGATGCACGGGGCGAGAATGCCAGACATGGCTTCGCCTACAGAGCACAGGATACGCGCGTTGCGCACCGTCATGCCCTCAGCCACATGCAAATAGACATTGAAGATATGAATGTGCCCCCATCCAGGTAAATCAACAATGACGTGCTGGGCACGCTGCGGCACCAACATCGACGAGCTGTAGCCATCAGGCCAGCGCAGCCCGACCTCGCTGCGAGCGAAGACCGCCACGCCAACGGAAGGCAGGTAGCCTTCGGTCGGACTGCCTGCAACGACAATCACTTGCCAGCCACGGGCACCTGCCCAAGATTGAAGCTCCTCAACTTCATGCTCATGATATCCAGTCTCCTGAACTAGCACCACCAGCGCCTGCGTCCGTTCAAGCCGTCGCTTCAGAGTGGGTTTTCCCTGATTGGCATTGAAGGTCTAGAGCAAGTGCGACTGCTGGGAGCTCAGCGGCGCATCAGCGCGTAGGAGCTCGCCTCGTCGCAGCCGCAGCCCGCTCACGCGGGGCTGGTGGTTAGGCACACGCCACGCTTGCAGGGGCAGGCTGGGCGACGCGGCCACGCTTGGCCTTGTGCATGTCATCGACGAGCTCATGCAACCGGGCGGCCAGCTGCTCCTCATATTCGCCTGTGACAGTGCCTGCCTTCTTGAACTCCTCGTACATCTGTCGAACGTCATACATGCCGAGTGTGGGCTCGGCTCCGCGCTTGACGACATCAGCCTTGTCATCCAGCTCATGATCATCATCAGTGCCACCAGCAGGCTGAACAAGAGACGGCTGCTGCGGCGCCATGCTGACCTTGACGTGCTTGGCCAGCATCTGCTGGAGCGGGCTGAACCTTGGGTCAGTGGTGAACTGCTGGTAGAAGAGCTTGAGGTCAGGCTGGCCTTCAAGCTCGGGCATATCCACTTGTAAGAAGTCGGGCGAGAGCACGGGGGCGGACGCAGGGTTCGTCGCCGCCGTGACGGGCTCGCCGCGCTGCTTCGACAGCGCCTCGGCACAGGTGCGCACCTCCATGGTGAGCTGGGCAATCTCAGCCTCCTTCTGAACGATAGCGGCTTCTTTCGTGTCCAACTCCTATTGTAACTTAGCGATCTTCTCGCGTCGGTCAGCAGCCTCGGTGCGGTAGCGATCGAGCTGGGTACGGCAGCGCTCGAGCTTCTGCATTGCGACCTTGTGCGCCGTGCACGGCGGACGTAGCTCACGTAGCTGTACTCGAAGCGCTTCCAGCTGCTTCTTGGTCGTCTGTAGCTGCTCAGCTTCACTGTCTTCGTAGAGGGCGAGGGACTTGACGAACAGCTCGTAGTGGCCGATCTTGTTCTGCATAGCACTCCGCTGCAACGCCGTCGCCGTCGTGTCCTTGGCCCCTGTCGAGCCTTCATCAACCTCCATGGCCGCATCAGACACGCCAGTGGGGGCTGCCTGAGGTGGGGCAGGGTCCTTGTTCTTCTCCATCTTGAGCTGCTGGACCTGCCTGCGCAGCGCCACCAACTCCTTCTCGAGCTTCGACGAGGCCCATGGCGCCAGCTGTGACGAATCAAGCCTGCCTCCGCCGTTGCCACCGCTGCGCGAAGGAGGCTGCCCCTTCGGGTTGTCGGCGGCTTTGAATTTCTTCCCCTTCCTGTCTGGCCTTGGTGATGACCCGCTGCGGCGCGCGCGTGCCACATCGGCGCTGCAGGCGACAAGCCCAGTTGTTGGCCGTGCCGCAGCGGGAGCACCCCCAATGCGGCCGCTTGGGCCCAAACAGCAGCGTTCCTGCGCCGTCGCCCGCCATCGTGACCCTGGAACCCAACTCCAGACTCTGGTGGCAGAACTCGCGCAGCCGCACGCCGCGGCAGGGGCAGTCTCGGCGCTCCAGGGGGGTGCGCTTCCCTGGAGCTGAAAACTGTCGGTTGCTGTCCTCGGATCAGAGGTCTCCACTCTGACCCCGAGGGAATCGGGCATCTTGAGCCAAAATGGCTACGGAAGAGTACAGGGAGGAGGAGGAGGAGGAGGAGGAGGAGGAGGAGGAGGAGCAGGAGGAGGAGGAGGAGGGGGGAGGAGGAGGAGGAAGAGGAAAAGGAGGAGGAGGAGGAAGACGACGACGCACCCCAGCGCCATCCGAAGACGGCCGACGCAAAAACGGTCCCCGGGAACGGGTTGGAAACCTAGGGGCCTAAGCTGAAACATTTCTCTCAGCTCTGGGGGCTCTCCACGGGGCTCTCCCAGAGGCTGTTGGTTTTTTTCCCCGAAGTCTCAGGTCACTCAGGCGTCGTGGCACCTAGACGCCAGGCCTGGGCAGGGGGATTGCGCGCGCGATGCGCCATCCAGGCTGGAGACGTTGAAATGCTTCGGAAGAGGTGTTGTGAAGACCTCATCGGGCGCAATATCAGGGAGAGGGAATATCGGACCCCCGTTTGCAAGACCCCCCCATGAAATATGGAGCTATCATGATGGGTGTATGCTGCATATCGACGTATCGAGCAATCGGGTAAATGGTTCGTTGTTGTTGTTGCTGCTGCTGTTGTTGTTGTAGTAGCAAAATGGGGACCAACCGCGCAGTTTGGCGACCTCTCGCTGTCACTTGTAAAATCGGGGTGCGAGCCCCGGGACAAACATTTGAATTGACAAACGCAATGGTTAACGGAGGGGGGATCAACACTATTTCAAAGAAATGGAAACCCAACAACAAAAACAATAACAATAACAACACCAACAACACCAACACCAACGCCCACACCCACACCCAGAACAACCAACACAGCAACAACGGCAACAACAGCAATAACAGCAACACTCATTTTAAATTTGTTCGCTCTTATCTGCTCGCGTGCACTTCAAAACGTGAGCACCAAATCTGGATCTCGACCCTCTTCGTCTCCGATCGTGCCCCCTCAGGGGTATATCTTTCTTGCCTGTAACGTGTGCTTCGTGCAACCCGTAAGGCAGGGAAAGATAGGGGGGATGGGTGGAAGGGGCAAGGAGCAAATAAGAGGATGGAGCACGAGAGAGAGACAGAGAAAGTAGCCAGAGGGGGGCGAAGAGCAGAAAACACGTGGCAAAACCAAAAAGGCAGATCGGGCGGGTAGATCCTACCGGGCGGGTCGGGAAGGCGGACCCCAGCGGCCAGGTCGACTGGGCGGGTAGCTGAAACGCGCGTCCTGCACGAATCGCGAGAAAGTCTCGAGCGATAGCGCGATTCCAAAATAAATCGTGCGGAAGCCCGCGACGAGAGCATGATTCCTGAGTGTCGAGGGCGTGGCGTTTTAAACAAATGCGAGAGAGTCCCACGCGAGAGCGCGATTCCTGTGCAAATTGTGAGGAGGTCCTGCGCGAGAGCGCGATTTGGGGATAAATTGTGACGAAATATCAGGAACAACCGTTGTTATTGTAAACCAAGGGCCGTGGGCGCAGTTTGGTGACCCCACAATGTCCACCCCGCGCTGTCCCTTGTAGAAAACAGGGTGCGAGCCCCATAGAGGCACTTGAATTGAAAAACGGAATAGTTACCGGAAGAGGGGGTCATCAGTCGTTATCTTTGAAATGTGAAATTTCATCAACAACAATAACTCAAATACTGTTCGCTCTTATCTGCTTGCGGGCCGCTCAACACGCGCATCCCGAACCCTCGATGCCCGCCCTCTTCGTCTTCGATCGGGCCCCCGTAGGGGTGCATATCTTTCTCACCTGCAGCGTGTACTTCGTGCAGCCCCTAATGCAGGGGAGGAGAGGACGGATGGAAGGAAGGGGCAACAGGTGGCGCCAGACTGGATGGGCATGGGGCGCTTTCGGTCCTCCTCCGTGCTAGGCGCTCCTCCCTCCCTCTTCCTTCGCCTCGTCCTCCTCCTCCATCCCCCCTCCGCCTCCTCTTGCTCCTCTTCATTCTCCTCGCCCCCCTTCTGGCCTGCTGTGGACATGGGCGTGCTCAATTTCACGCAAGGCGGCCCCGCCCCTCGGCAGCGTGAGCACGCGGTAGGAAGTACTCTGCGGCGGGAAATACAATGTAACAGCCAGGCGTCCTCTAGCGCCCCGCGCGCGTCGGAAATAGCACCGCGTGGTTCTATATAGTAACTGAGCGTGGTCTCGCGCCCTGCATGTTCCCCGAACCGCGCGCGCCCCGCAACCCTCGACGTCGGGCCCCAAACGAGCCCTCGCCTACTTCGAGCACGCAGCAGCGAAGAGGTCGGCCTCGTGCCGCCTGGCGCGCCACGCCCGCGCGTGGACGTACTCGGTGATGCGGTCGTGGTCGGCGCTCTTGGTCGAGGACGGGGGCGCCGTCTTGACCTCGTCCCAGCTCCCGTCCGCCGCCTCCGTGCCGTGCTTGAGCTTGACCATGCGGACGTGCCGTCCCTGTCCTGCACGCGCGCGGCATTCGCGACCGCCCCCTCCTCCTTCTTGTGGCTCACCACGCCGTGCGACAAGACAAGCCTGCGGTAGCGGGCGCGGAAGCGGCCCCGCCCGTGCCTCGGCCGCGCCCCCAGGCATAGCTTGGCGGACCCCGCTGCCCTCGCGCGCTCGAGGCAATCATTGCGGTCGCAGCAGGGCGAACAGATCAAGTCACCATCGGCGAAGGCCTCGTAGCAGTCGGCGCCGTCTGTCAGGGCGATCGCACCGCGGCCGAGGTGCTTCCTGACGGCCTCGTCGCACTGGGCCCCGCTCGGGGGCGCGCCGCCGCCGCCCGCCATGCTCGCCCCCCAGGGGGGCTGGATGAGAACCATGTTGGCCCCGTTGCCGCGCTCGACCACGATTGGCCAGCGGTTCCAGCGCAGGCGGTAGCCAGGGCACTCAGGCTTGCACTTGTCAAACGGCTTCTTGCAGCTGGCCCGCTCGGCCCTGATGCCGCGCTCCTCGAGCTCCACGAGCGTGCCGTCCCTGAACTTGATGCGAGACTGTTCCTCCCACCTGAGCTGGGCCATGCGGCGGCGGACCTCGTCCAAATACAACGCCATGGAATCCCTGGAGATGCCCTGCACCACGGTGCAATCTCCGCGACTCGGGTGGCGCGCAGCCCGCGGCGCGCACGCCAAATGGGCAGCGAGTAGCCCGTCTCCCGCGGGTGCTCTCCCGTTGCCCCCGAGAGAGATCGGCGCGCCCTCCGCGCTCTGGACTGCGACGCCCACCTTCATGCCAGTGCGCGTCCAATCGCCGCAGCGGTACCTGCGCAAAGTCGGGGCGTTCACATGGGGGGATAGCAGCGTCAATGCAGCGCGCGCGATTCTTTCTGGCTTTTCCCACCAGAATGAATCGGTGTGAATTTGCATTGCGCTATTCCGCGGGAGCCTCCACGTTGCCCACGCTCACGGTGACCCCAGGAGACCGCCCCCCTGCGCTCGTCTGGAGGGGCAACTTCGTGCCGCATTCGTGTGGGCACTTCTTGCCCTCCATCCGCGGCAGGTGCCCGAGCTCCACGCCAATCCGACCCCGGTTCGCCACGTCGATGCCGCAGAGCCCTCTGAAGTCAATGCGCCCCCCCTTGGTTTTGCAGGCGAGAGGCGCCGTCTCCCCTTTCCCAGCGTTCTTGCCGCTGTATCGGGGGCCTGGCAACTCCTTCGTTTTTGTCTCACCGAGCTTCGTCTTGGTTTTAGGTTTTAACATCTTGCCAGACGAAGCGCAGGCGGAGATCTTCACGTGCTTCTTGAAGTGGGCTTCCCATTTGGACTCTGGGCGCCTCGTGGGCGGGCGTTTCTTCGGCTTGATGGCGGTCTTCGGGGCGGGCTTCGCGGCGGCCTTCGCGGCGGACTTCATCGCCGACTTCGCCGTGGGCCCTGGCGCCTGGTCGCCGAGATGCGCTCGCCGACTCTGGGCCTCTCAAGTCTACGAGACATGAAGAAGTAGGCGTGCGCTGCGACGGCGGCGGCGACGAATGCGACGGTGACAACGATGACGGCGACGGAACTTCCTGCGGGGGGACGACGGCGCAATCCTTTTTTTTCATATCGCATATATAAAGAAGAAGCTGCACTGCCCATGTCAATCCGCCATGGCGCCGCCCTGGCCCGCGGCGCAGCGCGCTTCCTCGTATCGCATCTATATAAAGCTCATGCCAGCTCCCCCCGGCTCACATGGGGCGCAGCGGCGCATGCTGAGGGCGCCAGCTTTGCCCGCGAAGCCCGCGCGAGTCGCCCGCCCGTTCGCGCGCCCGCGACCGCCCGCTCAGTCCATGCTCCCGAGGAAGGCGCGCGCCTCATTCTCCTCCTCGGCCGAGGGCGTCGTAGGAGCCGCGGGCGCCCCGTCCTCGGCCAGCATCTGCGAGAGCTGGGCGTCGAGATCGCCGCGGGGCGGGGCCGCGGGCCCAGATGCAGAGGGCGACGCCGCGGCATGGTGCTCGGAGGGGGATGGGCTGTCGACGTTGAGCGTCATCCCCGAGAGCAGACGCTTCCGGTACCTCAGGCGCTCAGGGGGCACAGGCTCTCGCTTTGCCTGTCGGGGGGCTCAAAGATGATGTCCGGGGGGGGGGGGGGGGGGGGCGAGGCAGCGTTTCAGCACTCAGATTGCGTTGAAGCGCCCCCTCAGCCTTAGGGCCACGCCCCTTCAGCGCCGCATTTTTGAACCCCGAAGCCTGGGCGAACGAAGGGGCTGGCAAGGCGCCGACGGCCGCGTCCGATGACTTCTTGCGGTTCTTCTCCACGGCGGAATCGACGAGGGGCCGCCCCTTCTCCAAGAGCTGGTCGATGTTGTCGGGCGGCGTCGTGTCGCCGTCCTCCTGCAGCTGGCGCAGGCGCTCCCCCCCGGCTGTCAGGAAGGTCTCGCCCTTGAAATTGATGCGCGGCGCATCGCTCTCCTCGGTGCCTGCTGGGCGCCAGTGTAGGTATTCCTGCGTGTTCGCAAGAAACGCAGAGCGCTTGAAGAAAGCCAGCATGCATGCGCGGGTCGCCTTCTCGTGGAAGGCAGGGCGCGCGAGCTCGAAGAACTAACTCCTGGAACGTCGCGGAGGGCCAACGGTCTAGCTCCTCGGCATTCGGGCCGTAGGTCTGGTCAGCCATGCGCCGAGGCCCCCCCTTCTTCCACTTCGTCGCGCCCCACTTGGCCCAGCACATGCTCTCGCACTGGCCGGCGTCCAGCAAGGCCTTCGCCATCTTCGGCGGGAGGAGGTTCGAGCGCCCGTCGTCAGCGAACCCCCCCATCAGAATGTCGCCTGGCTCGCCGCGCAGGAAGTCGATCTCAGACGTCGCGCGGATGGAGCAGCGCGCGGGATCCCACCCGTTTGCGCTCGCGTTCCTGCGGCGCATTGCCATCAAGCACGCGCGCCCGAGAGGTGTCTTGCCGACGTTGGGCCCCCCAATGAGGGCGAGCGAATCGTTGCCGTTGATGGGCCCCGTCATGGCTTCGAGAGCGCGGAGGTTGAAGTGGCCGTCGCAGAGGGTCACGTTGTTACCGGACTCCTTCTTCGCCAGAGCGCCCTCCGCCGCCGAAGAGCGCAGGGGCTTCTCAACGAGGCCGACGTGCCATCCGTGGAGGGGCGCCCCTGCCCTCGTTGCGATCGTCTGCCGCCGCGCCAGCTGCAAAGCCCACCGTGGACTTCGGGGCCTCGTTGGTGATGTTGTCGAAGCCAGCGTTGATCTCCTCGTCGCTCGTCTCGTGCAGCGCGTTCTGGGTGGCCTTCGCCACGGTTTCGGGCGAGAGGGATAGTTGGCGAAACTGTTTGCCGCCGAGGTCTTCGAAAACGCATTGCCAGACCTTCGTGCCGATCTTCCGATGCGCGAAAATCAACCTCCGCGGCGCCCCGCGGGCCAGCTCCTTGAAGGGCCCGAGCTTCATCTTGCGTTCGGGGCTCTTGAGGACGATGTGTTTGAGGGTCGTTTTGGCGCCGCCCTGGCCGTCTAAAGTAGCGAACTGGAGCTGGGTGTCTGCTGGGGGTGGACTCTTGAAACTGTGCGGCGCTGGGAGGCCGCTCCAGTCGTTGTTCACGGCTGCTGTGTTGTAGAGTTCCTCCAAATTGGCTGGGGCGGCATCCGCGAGGTTCACAACAAGGTCGCTGTAGTGTGCCAGCGCGTTGTCCTGCGGCGTCGCGTCCTTGGTGAACTCGTCCAGAATGTCACTCGTGATCCTCGTGGCAGTTATCGCGGTGACCAGGCCCGCCAAGAGAGAGTGCAAGAAGTACCCCTCGACGCGACCCTTGATCTCCTCGTGCATGGCCATGGCGAGTCGAGGCGGCGTGGCGGGCGGCCGGAGCGCGGCGAGAGCTTTGCGGTCGAGCCCAAGCTGCGAGCTAGTGCCGTTCGCTCCTCTCGGCGTAGCTCCGCGTCCGCCACGGGGGGGCATCAGTTTTTCCCAACCATCCTGTGGCGTTGGGTCCTCGTTTTGAAGAGACAGCGCCCCGCGTCCCACCTCCTCTCCTCCTCCTCCTCTCCTCCTCCCTCTCCTCCTCCTCCTCCTCTCCGCACCCCTCGCACGTTTCGTGGCCCCATAGGGGGCTCCACCGAAGGCCCCATGGCTGCCGTCCGCATGCGTCCCGCACACCCATTTCGGCACACCCCTCACACGTTTCGTGGCCCCACAGGGAGCTCCACCGAAGGCCCCAGTGCTGCCGTCCGCATGCGCCCGCACACCCATTTCGGCACACCCCTCACACGTTTCGTGGCCCCATAGGGAGCTCCACCGAAGGCCCCAGTGCTGCCGTCCGCATGCGTCCCGCACACCCATTTCGGCACACCCCTCACACGTTTCGTGGCCCCATAGGGAGCTCCACCGAAGGCCCCATGGCTGCCGTCCGCATGCGTCCCGCACACCCATTTCGGCACACCCCTCACACGTTTCGTGGCCCCACAGGGAGCTCCACCGAAGGCCCCATGGCTGCCGTCCGCATGCGTCCCGCACACCCATTTCGGCACACCCCTCACACGTTTCGTGGCCCCACAGGGAGCTCCACCGAAGGCCCCAGTGCTGCCGTCCGCATGCGTCCCGCACACCCATTTCGGCACACCCCTCACACGTTTCGTGGCCCCATAGGGAGCTCCACCGAAGGCCCCATGGCTGCCGTCCGCATGCGTCCCGCACACCCATTTCGGCACACCCCTCACACGTTTCGTGGCCCCACAGGGAGCTCCACCGAAGCCGTCCGCATGCGTCCCGCACACCCATTTCGGCACACCCCTCACACGTTTCGTGGCCCCCTGCTGCCGTCCGCATGCGTCCCGCACACCCATTTGCGGCATTTCGGCACCCCTCACACGTTTCGTGGCCCCACAGGGAGCTCCACCGAAGGCCCCAGTGCTGCCGTCCGCATGCGTCCCGCACACCCATTTCGGCACACCCCTCACACGTTTCGTGGCCCCATAGGGAGCTCCACCGAAGGCCCCATGGCTGCCGTCCGCATGCGTCCCGCACACCCATTTCGGCACACCCCTCACACGTTTCGTGGCCCCACAGGGAGCTCCACCGAAGGCCCCAGTGCTGCCGTCCGCATGCGTCCCGCGCACCAGGTGTGTGGCGTGCCGACATGGGCGTCGCGGCGCGCGGGCGCTGCCGTCGGGGTTCCCAGGGAAGCCCCCTGCAGAGGCGACGCTCAGAGTCACGAGTACCGAGAGTCACGCAGACCCAAACTGTTCACAGTCGTATACATACATGTACACTGGGCGTTTCCATGCACGCATTCATGCGAATAGAATCGATCGCGCGCAGATTCATTCATAATCAGACTCGCTCGCGATCCGACTCGCACGCGCTCGAGCTTTCATATTCGGACCTATCGTCTTCGTTCGTGTTGTGAACGCTGCCACGCATTTCGGCACACCCCTCATACGGCTCGTGGCCCCATAGGGAGCGCCACCGAAGAAGATATTCACAGTTGCGGTACTCTCAACTGCATATGGTTGGGTCCTTCGCCAGGCTATTTTTTTGGATGCCCTCTAGAGTAGCGCAGTGACGAAGTCTTGGTTGGCGGCGTGGTATCATCACTGATGCTGGGCCGTTGCCGGGGTCGTTGCGTAACAAACGTGCGACAATGTGGCCGTGTATTCGGGCGCAGTGATGGGGGCCAGTTTTTGGGGTTCCCCACTTGGTGGTTGCTTGCGTGGTGTCGTCACCAGTGATGGCGTTTAAAGGTGTCGTTAGTTCCCACCGCGTGGGGCAGCCCTTGGTAACCATTTTTTCTGGTTACCAACTTGTTGGTTGAATTCGTGGTGTCACCATTGCTGGTGTGAAGGTGCTGGCGTTTGTTCGTGTTTGCCACGAGAGGGCATCGCTTTTTGCGATGCCCTCGGGAGTTGCCTCCTGGGTTCCCTCCTGGGTACCCTCGTGGGATTCCCTCCTGGGTCCCTTCCTGGGTTCCCTCCTGGGTCCGTTCCTGGGTTCCTTCTTGGGTCCGTTCCTGGGTTCTCTCCTGGGTCCCCTTCTGGGTTCCCTCCTGGGTCCTCTCCGGGAGCCTCCTGTGGCCTCTCTGGGGCCTCTCTGGTGCCTTTCTGAAGCCTCTGGGCCGCCCTGGGGCCTCCCGGGGGCGCCGGGGGCCGCGCGCCCCCCGCGGGGGAGGGGCGGGAGGGTGTAAAACCAAAGAAACCGAAGGAACAACAACAATTAGCCTGACGAAGGACCCAACCATATGCAGGTGTGAGAACCGCAATTGTGATTCACTTTTTCGGTGGTGATCCCTATGTGGCAACGAACCGTGCTAGGGGCGTGCCGACATGAGTCTTCCCCGGGGCTCCCCGACGGCATCGCCCGCGCCCCGCGACGCCAATGTCGGCGCGCCCCCCCGCGAGGATCGCGCCCGCTTCCCCCCCGTCTTGCGCTCCCCGCGCACTCAAAAGTCCAAGGCCGCGGGCGCAGCGCAGCGCGGAGCCCCCGCGACGCGCGCAAGTCGCCCCGGAGGGGTCCCAGCGACGCGCGCGGGTCGTCCGCTGCGCGGAGCAAAAAGAGCTAGCTGGCTGGCTGATAGCGGGCAAGGCTCTCGCCGCTGGGCAGAGCGACGACGGGCGAACGAGGCGCTTGGCAGAACGCAGCACGGAGTCCCCGCGACGCGCGCTGGTCGCCCCGGAGGGGTCCCAACGACGCGCGCGGGTCGTCCGCTGCGCGGAGCAAGGAGAGCTAGCTGGCTGGCTGATAGCGGGCAAGGCTCTTGCCGCTGGGCAGAGCGGCGTACGACGCAGGGACCTTCGGCGGAGTTACGTGTGGGGCCACGAAACGTGTGAGGGGTGTGCCGAAATCGGTGTGCGGGACGCATGCGGGCGCACCCGCTGGGGCCTTTGGTGGAGCTCCCTATGGGGCCACGAAGCGTGTGAGGGGTGTGCCGAAATGGGTGTGCGGGACGCATGCGGGCACAGGGCCACGAAACGTGTGAGAGGTGGGCCGACATGGGTGTGCGGGGCGCCTGCGGGCGCACCCACTTGGACCTTCGGTGGAGCTCCCTATGGGGGGGGCCAGGAAACGTATGAGGGGTGGGCCGACATGGGTGTGCGGGACGCATGCGGGCATACCCACTGGGACCTTCGATGGAGCTCCCTATGGGGCCACGAAGCGTGTGAGGGGTGTGCCGACATGAGTGTGCGGGACGCATGCGGGCACACCCGCTGGGACCTTCGGTGGAGCTCCCTATGGTGCCACGAAACGTGTGAAGGGTGTGCTGAAATGGGTGTGCGGGACGCATGCGGGCACACCCACTGGGACCTTCGGTGGAGCTCCCTATGGGGCCACGAAGCGTGTGGGTGTGTGTGTGCCGTAATGGACTGCATCGCCATGTTGGCCTGCTGCGCCTCGTGGGTGGCCAGGATCTCAGGGCGCAGCCCCCCCATGGACGATGGTATTACTAGGCCTGGGGCCTGTTGCTGCACATCTGGGTCCATGGGGGCAGCCAAATATCCGTAGTGAGGAATCTGGCCTGGCGCGCCTGATGCATGACCCGAGCCACGCGTCAGCTGAGACTGGTAGAAGTCGTCGGCCGTCCCCGTGCATGCGTTTTTTTTTTGGGCTGCGTCCCCGCTCGAGGAGTGCCCCTTACCTGAGCGTGATAATCAGGATATAGTGGGTAGTCCATTGGTGCTGCTGTGGGGCGTTCTGCAGCCGTTGGATCGCATGTCGGATGACTGAGAAATGCTGGCACGTATCCAAACCGATTGGGGTTGTCTGGTGATGGATTTGGATCCGGAACATACTCCCAAGGCGGCGTACAATTGGCGCTGCGGAGGTCAATGCCGTCACTACGCATACTCTGAGCGGCTTCGCGCATCTGCCGGTACATCCATTCCTGCTGACCAACCAAACTCTCGGTTCTCTGTGCAGCATGGTGACCAGGAAAAACAAGTTGCCCCGGATGTGGACGCGGCGATGCAAATGACGATGTCGCCTGTAAAGCCTGAGAGAGCTGCGGGTCCATTCGAATGCTTTGGAGCCTCGCCTGTAGGCTGTTGGTGCTCCCGGCACTCTGTGGGGTACCATATAGAGTTGTGACTCTGCTCATCGGTGCAAATGAAGCAGGTTGCCCTGCGGGTGCTGGCAGCTGCTGCACCTGAGCACGCCACGCATCGTTGGCGTATAGCGTGTCAGCGGGCGTGATGCCACTTGAAGCAATACCTGTCACGTCCGCACTTTGAGCCTGCATCCAAGATCCACCAGATCCCCCTGCAGGTGTCCCCGCTGGCGCGTGTCCTGTAGCATGAGCGCAGTTGAGAACTCGACTTCCTGAACGGGAGTCGGTTCGGGACACTTAAAGTTGTAGGGGGTCTTTGGGATGAACCCATCTCTCAAAGATGATGCGCCAGTCCGATATTCGTACATCTTTTCAATAGAGACATTACCACCTGGATACGGCTGAGTGCTATCTCGCAGATACAAGGGATTGAACCATACATATCCCACACGGTCGCACCTGCAATATTCGCCGGGCAGAATACCTATGAGCTGAAAAGTATGGGTCGGAGGAATTTTGCCGTCGCGGCCTGCTGACATTATGATGTCATTTGCTGAGCGCCAAATCGGTATGCTGTCCCGAAGCAAGTTCTTCAAGCTGACCATGACCAACACCTCGGAATCAACGCGCAGGCCGGACTGGATTCTATCATCACCAGGAAGGTATGGGCAACCATGTACAAACTGTCTGCCCCTCTTCTTGCTGGTGTCGTCGGCGCGACATGACAGTCCAACGCTAAGTATACTGGGGATATTTTCCCACTGAGGACCATGAATAAAACAACAAAGTGCACCTGGAA